TACATCTGATCAACAAACAAATACTTGGTGATTATTACATGCCAGGGGCTGGAGATAAAAACAGGACTAAGGCATGGCCTTGTCACTGCGGAGTTCACTTACTAGTGGGCAGACAGGCACATAAACAGATAACTACAAGACAAAGAAGTAAGTACAGTGACAGAAGTACCTACAAGATGCCATGGGAGCAGAGATGGGGACACCAATGTGCGCCCTGGAAGGCTCAGACAGGGCTTGGAGGAGAAGATGCCAGGGCTTAAGGAATTTCAAGGAGGAATTTCAACGTCTTCTCTGGTATCCAAGCACTTCCTTAATTGGTCCCCTTTAACTGTCCAGCCATAGCTCCCATTACGCCCAATTTAACTCACCTACCCACTCCTACTGGACCAGTCTCCTAACTACTCCTTGAGAAATCCACTTCTGATCCTGTCTCTAATTCCTCTGCTCATATGGCATTCTCCAGTAGGCATCCTCTACCTGGAAAAACTACAAGCTTCTCTCTGCCTGGTAAAGTGTGGGCTCACCTCCTCCATGAGAAATGGCCCTCCTCTGATGCAGTCATATCCCTTCCTATTCCATAGGAAAGCATTTCAAACAGGCACATTCACACAGATACTAAGATTATTTTTCCATATTTTGTAATTGTTTATTGCGTTTTTCTTTTCACTCCAACAAAACTATAAGTACCTTAAAAAAAAAGTTCATAAACTAATTTTATGTGTTTCACAATACCTGGCAAAGTGTCAGCCAAAGCAAAATAAAAGTGGTCAAAAATATTTTCTGAGTTGAATTATTTCACCAGTGCCTTCTCTGGCTTATCTGATATGCAATAAATTCATTTGATGAAATTTTAGAAGTTCAAATAACCAGAGGAGAGAACATTCTTGCTTCTGTCAGTTAATTTACTAACTGAAAGTCAGTAGTATTCTATGAGAAATAAGCTAGCTTAGTAGAATTTGTGAATGTGAAGAAAATGTGAACCATGGAATAAATTACACATTTGGTTTATAAGCAGCCTGTGAATAAGGTTCTTGTATTGGCAGGCAGTAAGAAAGCAGTATATTGTTGAGAGGGAATGTATTTAGGGTAGAGGACAAGTTTGAAAACGAAATGAGAATAATTGAATGGCCTTTTTTGTAAGGAAGTATTATATACATCAGTCAAGCAAATGAAGAGGATTATACACACATGTGAATGCGTGCTCTCACACACAGACGCACACACACACACTATGAGCGTGAATAAGATAACAGAAACGGCAGTTGGGAAAAGGACCTTTTCATACTGCCAAGAATCAGGCATTTTAAAATTCAGTACTTCTTTCTTGTTTCTTTTGTTTTCTTATCTGTTTCTCTCCCACTGTTATTTCTCACCTTGTTCCTCTCTGTAGTCTTTGCTGCCTAATTTTCCTCCCTCACTCCCTGCTCTCTAACAAAGACTCCACACACTTTCTCACTCACTCACACACACACACCCCTCAACTGTTTCCTACATTCTGTGTTCCAAGCATGAAATCATCTATCTCAAGAAGGCATCTGAGGCTGATGCCATGAATTCATTGAACAAATGAGTGGTTTTCAAACTTCTGCTCATGAACCCCTAAAAGAATTTTGAGAAAAAACATATATAGACTCTGTGCCAGTTATTAATTTATTGCCTCTCACCTTCAAATCCATCTTCTTTGCCTGCTCTGCTAAAATGGTGCTGGGACTGTAAACACTTTTTTCTTTGTCAGCTAACATGATATCAAACGTTGTCAGCAGAGAGCACAGGAGAAAGACTGCAGGAGAAAGGGAAACCCTTCCTGGTTTCAGTAGCCTGCTCAACAGGCTCCTGCAGGGCTGGCCGCTGCTCTAACATCTGGTTTTTGCAGCACATGAAGCTTCTCTACTCCAGGCCCTTGCAATGTGGGCGGCTTCGCCAGTGCCAGGCTGCTGCCGTATGCACAGCTTCTCCAGCATCCAGCTCCTTCGGTGGGCACAGCTCCTCCAGAACCTGGCTCCTGGTGCAGACAGCTTCTCCAGCACCCAGCCTTTGTAGTGTACACTGCTTCACCAGTGCCAGCTCCTGCAGCACAAGCAGCTTCTCTCGTGCTAGGTGCTGTCTCCAGTGCACAGGAGTCAGCAGCACCTGGCGCCCAGCAGCTTCTTCTCACACTCACCTCTGGTCATTTTGTAGTGAGACACCTCCCTGTAAACAGCTTTCCCCAGAACCCCAGAGGGTAGATTTCCCGCAAATTCCAGGAAGTTGCCCCATTATGGCACCACAGTGACTTCTCTGCCAGTTACTGAGCTACAGCCCTGCCCTCTCCAACAAGGTCTAGACCTCAGCCCCGGGAGGGGAAGGTGTAGGGGGGCTGGAGGCAGGGTTTGCAGCGGAAGCTTTTCCTCGGGCTCTATCCCAGCCCTGGGGGTCATGATAGCTTCTTGTATTTGCTATTTCTGCATTCTTCAGAATCCCTATTTACTTCTTACTAGCCAACCCTCATTACCACAATCCTCTGGTAATAATTCTTTACATTAAACTTTCCTGTTCAAATTACTGTGTGGTTTCTGTATCCAGATTGGGTGCTGACTGATACATACATCCTCATAGATTTTAAAGTAACAGCTAAAATATCTTATCAAGAATTTAAATAACTGAAGAAGATAAATTTTCTGGTGTTCTGTACACAGATTACATGCTTAAAATATATTTTTGTCAAAACCTTAGAGCTACATATTTAGATCATTTAATGAATGGAGAAGCCCACCATACAACCTGACGTGCAAACGCAGTCTTCCTGTCCCGTCTATTAATCAAATCCGACTTAGCACCCATCCAAAAAAGAAGACTTGCATTTTTTTAATTTGAATAATGTTGACACTTGTTTCCATGACAACTGTCTCACTTAAGTAGACAGGTAGAAAATGGACAAATGGAAGACAGATGAAGAGACAGATAAGCAGACAGCAGATGGGCCGACTGAGTCTTGCCAAGATGAAATACTATTTCAATATTTTTTTACCAGTTCAATATTTTTCAGGTTTTGGGTGGGTTTTTTTTGGCCTTGCTTTCATGGGTCTCTCCTTCAGAAGTAACGTCTTCTTGAACTATCATTTTGCTTGACACCTTAGAGGTTTTACCCCAGGGCAATAAATCACAGTAAGATTTGGGACAGGTAAAAGGTGTGACATCTTTTGTGAAGCGGGAGAAGGGCGATTATGATGGAGGAGATAGAAAGGAAGAAGTGGCCAACCAGAGGCTCTCTCAGACACACCAGCCTCAGAAAAGCATACATACAGAAGTTGAGGACCAAAAATCGATTCCCTTAAAACTGTCCATGCCCTGTGGCCACTGGAAAGGCTCTGCGGACACCAAGGATAGAAGTTCTCCAGGAAGACAGCAGCACCAGACCAACAAACTACTGCATCCTACAAGGAAGGCTAAAGCAGAGATAATCTTCCCTCTAAAACTGACAGGAAACCATATAAGGAGAAGCATACAATTAAAAAAAGAAAAGAGTAGAATAAAAATATTAAACCATACTCCTTAAAAACTTAGAAAATCAAAGCTTTCCTTATAAGAATGCTAACAGAAATAGAGGCCATGTCACATCTCTATGCAACTCCCTGACCCCAGCAGCACCTACATTTGGAGAAGGGTCTTGCTTTTAGTATTCGTGACTCAAAATCTCACATGGGTTAAACCCTTCATTTACAGTGGTTCTGTTTCTTATTTAAAACAGTAAGTTGTCCTTAGATCCACTACTTTACGGAATCATATGACAGCAAAAGAGATGGAGGATCTTAAACAAAAAGCAATGAGGATGTGGTCAATTTTTACCATTTGGGATATTAACAAGTTTAACATGGCTCAGCAACCATCTTAAGTGTTCTATCATCTATTGTGAGACAAGCTAAAGGTGTTGAAATATAGGGATGTGTGTTTTTTGAGAGGAAATATGTGACAATTTGAAGGGCTGGCTTTTTAACATGAAGAATAAATATAAGAATTCAGAACAGATTCTCAGACAACAGTAAGGTGCAATAAGGTTTATGCAAGTTAAAGAAAGGTTTTAAACTTCAAGAAAATTTTTCAAGGAAACTACTGTTTCTTGTTATTTCTGGAAAATCTGTAAATTGCCAGTGTTTTAAGAGGGAAATATTTATAGAGATATTAAGTATGTTGTACATGCTACACGTATCTGATTCTTGTTTGTTCATTTCCCCTAAGAAATTTGCGATTCTGTTTTAAATAAATGACATTTACTTTCAATTAAGGTTTCTGTCTTTGTACTCCCCCAAATCAGCAACCCCATGGGAAGTACAGGACTTGTAGGATTTTCTCCACCTAGATAAATAAATTTTTGGTAAAGATTTTCTTTTCTTGACTAAGATCCATAATCTCCAGAATACACTGTCTGAATTAACTATTTTGGTGAAAAAGTATACGTCCTGCCTGTTTTATAGTAAACTACTGGGATCTTTAAAAGAAAGATTTTGAATCAATGCAAAAACTGTTAAACTCATGTTACGTAATTTGCTTACATATGTAAAAACATCTGTTATAATTCCCATGTTACCCTCAATACAGGTATTGCCCTTCATTGCACAAGTACAAATAATCAACTTGGTGGATATTATTCAATCTGAAGGATACACATGAAGAACTTGCATTATGGTCCAATAAATAAGTTTAGGGCCATCACTGGATGATAGAAAAATCAATAAATATATAAACATTTCTATACTCACCGAAATCTCTTCCATAGCTCTGCTAAGTCTCACGGTTATTGCAATGAACAAGTCGATGTTGGGTATTTAAAGATCCAAATAGTGCAAAAGCAGCCAGTCCCCCAAACTGGTAATTTATCATGAAAGTCAATAGTTACTTTTGTTTCATAGTGGGGAACAGAAATAACAAAATTCAATAATGAAAAGTTTCTAATGTGAACAAGCAATAACTAGTTTGTTGCCATGTGTGATATGTCCACAACCATAGGTTCTTAACATACTTACTTGAACAATGGAGTTCCACAAACAACACATTTATAGATTCCAGGATCTTTGTGACGTATATATTCTCCTTCGAAGGCACTGATAAACAATAAACAGAGCATAAAAAAAATTAAACAAAGTTAGCATTATTTCTTATAGAACATATTTGCTTAAAATATATTTCTCTAATAAATCTTTCAAGGGCTTTTTGTCCTAAAATGAGAACAGACCAAACATATGGAAATCTGAACATTACTAATATATTTCAAATCTATATAATAAAATGTGTGTATGACTATTCCAAACTAGCACAGGTTAAATTTTAAACAATCAAGCCATCTAGTTATGTAATGCTTGGAAGAAAATTTTCTGATTTAAAAATAAACCTGTAGTTCAGATTCTCAGAAAAAAAAACATTATTACATAAGATTTCTGCTACTCTATGATGTCCAAGAGTGTAGACCAGCAAACACAGAAGGGTCCACGACTTCAAGTGGAAGGAGTCTTATTTTTTGGTTTGAAAAGGAATATTGCAGCTTTAAGGGAATATTTTTCTAAGTTAACAATCTTAAAGGCTAGGAGGTCATTCAGCTAATACAAATCAGCTGTGCGAGTCCAACAAAAAGTCTGTGTGCTCCGCAGCTTGTTTTTATTATCCTTTGGCCCTCTTTATGAGGTCCAATTTTTTTATAAACAGAATTTTTAAGAATGACCTAATCTCTAGTTGTTTGTGTGCATTAAATCATTCTGCTAGTCATGTACACAACAGGACGGTTAGAAGTCCTCCTGGGCCGAGAAGGAAGTCCACCACCAGCGCATTGTGTGGTGAGGGTGGACTTTGTCAGAGATTCCACAGTCAGTACATTCGGTAAACAGTATACACTGTGACAGGAAGAGAGTGTTGCCTATTAACAAGGACCCCATGTGTGGTAAAGAGCTCTTTCAGTTCATGAATGAAAACAAGAAGTTACATCATTAATAAATTTGGATCAGAGGTAAGTTACAGTCTTATGCCAAGCTCCATGGTATAAATTAGACAACAAAATGGCTGGACCTTGGCAAGTTACCTTTGAGCTGGAATCAGCTGAGAGAGACTTTATTCACTAAAAACAGTCTTGGAAGTGAACAAACTCTTTTTTCAGGACTTAGGGCGAACTTCCAAGGACCAAAGCCATGTGAGGGCAGTTATTGAAAATTTTTGACATTCCAACCACAAATGAGCCAATAAATACTTTCTCCACATGTGCTTCAAAAAGAAATTGGAGTGGGGTAGAAAGGAACTAAATTATGCTACCTTCTTTTTGCAGCCAAAACGTCTATACTTACAATGGCCACCTTCAAAATTTCAGCATCCTGGCACAGTGCCATGTCCCTCATGGTTTTGCTTACTGTGATGTCTTCCCAAAAAATGTACCTAAATCGCTATTACTTCCACACATTTTGTAGTAAACTAAAAACAGGCCCTTAATAAAAGCCTTGTGACTTTACATAAGATAGAGTGTTCATTAAAAGGGAGAAAGAATAAATAAGGCTTCGTCTTAACCTAAACAATACCATTTTCAACCTTTTCAAGGATAGTAATTTGTAGACTTTAGCAAATAAGAGTAGAATTCTTTAGATTAAATGGCAAGGAAGAGGATTCAAAGGGGGGGGATGAAGAAAACTGGCTTTTGCTTAATGACCTTCTTAGCGCTCCCCTCACCTTTCCGTCCCTTTCTCCTGAGTGACATGGTACTGCAGGGGTGTGAGCCGCTTCCTCAGTTCCTGCTGGGAAAAGACCACCTTACAGCTCTTTTGATCCCTACATGACCCTGGAGAGAGAGAGGATATGGGAGAAGGAGGCTTTTTAGTTTGAATCCTAAATAATTGCTTTGGCTGGCAGCCACAGCACAGCTTCTGCAGTCACTTGTCAGTGACCAGACCAGTCCCTAACGCACCAAACTTACCTGAACTGTGGCTGATTATTTCTCTCAGATTAAAAAGAGTGTTTCTCAAGATCCAGGTGATTCCGCTGGAGCACTGAGAACGTGCTATAGCCAGAGCTGCTAGCACGCGGTAGTAAACACTCCTTGAACATTCACAAGATGGTAGTACATCCTGCGTGTCTCCCAGTACCTTGAAATTCTTTTTTTTAAACAAATCCAAAAAGCATTTACACTGTATATATAAGATGATGGGCATATGTGGCTAAATAATAACTCTCCACTCAATAATTTTGCAACTTTGTAGAAGAGCTGAAACTTGCATCATTCCATTTCCATTCTGGGTGATTTAAATACTACCCTATTTTTTTTTTTTGAACCCTAAAGATGTATTTTTCCACGACTAGGAATTGTTCTCTGATTCTGTCACACACTTCACTAGGTTCTGTAGAGTCCTTAAAAGCAAGTGTCTCTTTAACGACTGTCCCTTACCATGTTAAACAGGCAGCAAGAAATTTTTAATAGACTCCAGGAGAAGGCTCTTACACTGATGCAGATTCAAGACATTCCAAAGAGAGGGTGAGAAAAATTAGGGAGGCGAAAGACAAAGAGGAAAAGTGAATGTGGTTTTCTTGTTGTTAGTGCTGTCGAGGGGACTGCGCACCACAACAGAAGCCTGCCCAGTCTCTGTGCCATCCTGTCCCCTTCCGCGTTCGATCAGATAATACCCTGCTGCTATTCATAGGATTTTCATAGCCAATTTTTTCGGAAGTGGGTGGCCAGGTCCTTCCTTCTACTCTGTTCTAGTCTGTAAGCTCGCTGAAACCTGTCCATTGGGTGACCCTGCTGGTATTTGAAGTCCCGGTAGCATAGCTTTCAGCATCACAGCGACACGAAGTCACCACAGTACGACGACACGTGGGTGGTGTGGTTCCCTAACAGGGACACAAACCCTGGCCGCGCTGGTGAGAGTGCTGGATCTTAACCACTAGACCACCAGGGCTGGACGTGACTTTATTTAGAGACCTATCTTTTCTTTTTGCAAAGTATACCTAGGAAGACTTCGCTGATTAAGTGTATTTGAAGGATGAAATAATTTTAATGTGACTGGCAGCTTTTATTTCAACCTATATAGACAGCAGTAAAGTGTTCAGACAACATCTGTTTATATGTAGCATTTTATTTTACCTGCACAAATGATTGAAAAGAAACCTAACTCTGGGATAGCACAGCCCCCACTCCTGGCAGGGAAATCACTCTTTACTGTCCACCCCAGTGGGAGACAGGCCCGTGGATGGCTCTGCATGCAAAGATTCCTTTCCATGTTTCGAAATTACTAAAAGAAAGAGTGCTTAGTTTCCTGAATATTAAACTCAACTTCTTTTGAAATATAAAGAAATACTATTTAGGAGTAGAAGTGCTTTCTACATCTTTTACTGTTAAGGCACGTAGTGTCATAGTCAGTGAGATCACTGAAGTTAAACTGGGAGAAAATGAACTAACCAGTTACCCTGATTGTGGGGCTGAAGAAGGGTATCAGCTTCCAGAACAGGGCCACCAAGAAAGAGTGGTTGATTCTCTATGAGGAAGCATGGAGGCAGGAAAAGAGCAAACCAGAGCCAAAGAGAAAGTTTGCAGTGGGCCTGTGGGTTGTCACCCAGCGCCTCTCCTGACCTTCCACACGGCATGCTGGCCCTGCTCCAGCCTGGAAAGACTACAGGAACAGCTGGCACACGGCTAATGGCGTGCTGGTCTCTCATCTCACTGGACCCCATATTACACTAGGCTTTCTCCAAATACCAACTACTTACACTTTTACTCTTGTCCAAGGAGTACACAGAAATGTTCCCCTAAGAAACGTCTGTCCTGTCGGACAAACCTCTCCATGGCTTGAATACAGAGTTGCTTTTTCTTAAATAATCAGTTGACTCTGATAGGCGAGTTTCTGCTCAACTCACTATAGACTTCTTAAAAGGTATCTTTATTTTTATTTCTTTATTTATAGGAAGGGTTGCATCTTTGTCGATTTTGTCCAAAAAAATTCATTAATTGCACACTTAACATGACAAAACATCTTGCTTGAAATTATTCTTTCCAATGGCATGGATGATTAAAATCTGGACAATCAGAATTAAATAATTCTGTCCAAAATATTTTTGTTAATATATGTTCATTCATACAAAAAGACCAATTGTGTTCCCAAAGTTGAGAGAACTAAGCTACCCATCTGTATGTCATTTAGTACAAGAGAAGCAACTGCAGGTTTAAATTACATGGTATTGGATTGCAATTTCCTAACATTGGATGCTTTCTGCCTTTTTACCTTGAGTCATTCACTAAGGAGTGTTCATAAAAAGTAGCTTAAAGCACAGATGCTTGCAAATAGTTTAGGCAAAGATGTTTCTCTCTTTTTCATTCTCCCTCTCTCAAAAATCTCTCTTTTCAGAAGAGAAAGAATAAAACTGTTGGTCAGTATTGACGAACCACGTCAAGTATTTGTATAAGGAGAAAAGGTAAAATTGAAAACATCTGATTGAAGTAAACAATACAAACATAAAAGCTTTCCTGGTGAATGAAGGGTATTGAGGAGACTTTATTTCATAGATTAGAAATTACTTTTGATCTAAACATTCTTAAAAACAGATTGTTTTCCACCATGAACCATCTCATTAGCTGTGCCACAGAGACCTCGCCTTAATGGCGGGCTCTGAAAGGGTACTGCTGTCCCCCTTTGTCAGTCTCCATCCTATTGGGGAGGGGGATCGAGATTTCATTCCAGCTTTCTTTGTTTGTCTTTCAAGAACCACTAAAGCAGTATTCACACAAATTTTGTAGGAATGTGCCCTATGTCATAGCCTACAAATTATTTGGTTTTGGTGCACTTAAAGGTCATCTTCCAAATTAGCAAAATTTTCCTACATCCTGGCTTCTCAACCTTAAATATAAATATTGTTTCCTAACTGTAAGTGAGGTTTGTTCTTTAAGAAATGCTAGTGCTTATTTAAAGTTGTCAAACTTTGTACATTTTTATTCTTTGGTCATACTACGTTCTCAAAATAATTAGGCTTTTAAAGCGCACCTAATAGCAAGAGGAAGTATATGTGGACTAGAAACAACTACTGTGATTTTTAAACAACTCAATGAGAAGTTAGTCAGATTTTGATAAATTTCTTGCCGCATAGTTTCATAATAACATACTTCCTGGACAATTGAAAGCTATACTCTATGACATTAGCTCTTCTAGCATCATAAGCAAAAATTGGCATAAACAAACAGAGAAAGGCTTCCCTTTTGTCTCTGATTTCCCTTCTTGCTATCAGACTCACTTTCCTAAAGTCATATGGTGCCACTGTTAATTTTGAAGAAATCACTTCATTTTGAAATTCTAGAATAATTCATTGGATGGTTTCCCTTTACTATCTTCACTTAGGTACTGTAATTTTCTTATTACACAGGGTAATTTAACATTAGTATTATATAACATCTGTTCAATGACCTCTAAATTGGCTTAGAAGTATGTGAGGAGAAGATTTTTTCCCTTTATTTAAATGTTCAGTAGAGGACCTTGAAGGCACAAGTGGGTGTGCGTACATGCAACACAAAACACGGCTGAGGGGTTCCACTGCCACTTTGGGACCTAATTGTAACAGCACTCCCCACAGAGTCATTTCGGTATAGACAGGAGCCATCTTGAACCCAATCCAAGGGTATTTATTCACTAAAATAAGCCCAAAGTCTCTCTTTATAATGAGACTTGTTCCGTATTGTCACCTCAAAGCCGATATTGTCTTAAGGCTCCAGCAGGCAGCTCTTGCTGGAGGAAGAAAGAAATGGAGAAGAAGAACTCACGTTCTGGCTGCCCGCTTCACGTGACCACGGGCAGCCTCCCTCACGGGTCTGCTCCAGGGGTCACAGCCGCCACTGCTTGGCAAACACTGTCTGAATAAACGAAGTACCACACTGTCATTCTGACCACAGCAAATTCTGCAAACCCTGTTTTACGAGGTAGCCAGGGCAGGGATTTCAGTGTACTGCAATGTTTTATTAGGAATTATTTTTCTACAGTAGTTCTCTCAGAACAGTATTTTCCTGACGTTATCTTTTAAAATGATTAGAATAGCAATTGAAAGAAGAAAACTAAAATCTGAGTGCCTATTATGTGCCAGGCACATTTCCAGGCACTTTCACATAACCACAGGGACTCCTCAATAATTCTAGGAGGCGGATGTCATGCCCGTTGTACAGATAGAGAAACTGAGGCTGAGAGAGGTTATCACGTAACTTACTAAGGACAAACAGTGGATAGATACATCGACTCAACCCGGGGCTGTCCGAGCAAAGCCCATCGTCATCATATTTTCTGGGAGGAAAAATTATACTACGACTTTCTTGTTTCTTCTTAAATTATGCAATAACTTCCAGCTTAAAAACTGCCAACAACTTAAGATAATAAGGGAGAAAAGCAATAATCACCACAGAACATCCGGAAAAATACATACATTTGTCTATTAGCCAACGTCTGTTTCCCTGTGTTCCTTCCCTCAGCAGAGGGTCAGTGACAAGGTTTGGACGGGATTCTCGCAAAGTCTATAAAATGTTGAAAGGCATTTTAACTTCCTGTTAAGAAGTAAATCAGATCTGTTACCTAAATCTAAGAGCACTTTTAAGTCATAAATCTTATATTTCAGTGTGAAAATTCAAAACAAAAAAAAACCCCTAAAGATGCCATAACTTTCATTTTGGTTCTAGGATGAGAAAAAATAAAACTGCTAAATATTTTCCCAAGAGGAATAAGAAATGATAAAACTATCTTGTCTTGCTTTGAGCATACTAAGTTAAAACAGTAAAATTCATGTTGAAGCATCCTGCTACTATATTTAAAAATGGTA